CCCCCCTTAAATGTATAAAATGTGTTTTTGCCATCACCATAAATTTTCGATATGTAAATTCTACAAAAACTCACTTAAACATATGAAGCCAATCCAGCGGAAGTACATCATCTAACCTTGTCGAAAAGCCATAAACTGAGCTCGAATCTGTTTATTTCATTTAAAATCTGCCATTAAATGAATGTATTCTATTCGATTTGTCGCATTCACTGTAATATTTGCGCCTCCTGGCTTCAATTCTTCAGTCTGTAAATAATTCATAAAAGAATTTAGATTTATAAAGCTTTGGTGAAAATTATATCATTCTATAACATATGCTTACCTTAGTTTCGCCCAAATCATCTGTCATAACTGTAAAATCTAGACCCAGATCGTTAACGTCACCTGTGTAGCTTTTAAAGAGAGTAAGATCTATGCAAAACTGGGTCTAGAGATGCTAAATGATGAGCATCAATTATGCTGGGACCAACTAACTTACAAAGAAAAAATTCTGATAGAGGTAAATCGACCAAAAGGTTTCAAAAAGAGCCTGTAATTAATACAAATATACATAAGACTTGTTGTATTGAAATCTATTGAGAGTGAAGATATTGAAATATTAAAATTAACTTACTTTTCCAAGAAGTCTACCAATAAAAAAATAATGTTTTTGAAAATCTTCAACAATTAATCCACCCCAGGATTAGGATATAACGATCTATCCTGTGCTATCTAAAGAAGCCTCTATTTGGATCAAACGCCGTATGAATCAATTCTGATAAAACTTCTCTGAACATCCCTCCACCATCAACACCTGCTTCCTCCTCAGACCAGCTGCATTAATAAGCTGTACCCTCATTTTTAATCGTAGATTTGGCTCTAAGTATTTATTAAAAATAATATATTAGTAAATAATATTTATTTGCCTAAATTTAATGAATAAATAAGTGTAAACTTTCCGATATGTGTAAAAATAGACTTAATCAATACAATTGAGCTTTAGAGAGTTAGATAAAATTTATAACTGTTTATTCAAAAATAAAGTTTTCACTTTCACTTAAATCTAAACACAGTGACTTTCAATGCAAAACACAAAAACATTTTTTTAAGAAACTTGATAAATTATTTTTGAAATATTAAGCACCTGCTATAGAAAATACTACTGGGGCTTATCGAGATTAATTAATTGGCTTTTAAATTTGTGAATCGGTTTCGGCCGTTTTGGAGAAAACGTTGACGAAATTCAAATTTTGATTTATCAATCACAAAAGTGACCTTTGACATAAATTTTGATATTCTTTCAAACATTGATTTATATTTAAAAATAAATCAAAAGTCGTAGGTCCTAGTTGACATAATCTGAATTATATTTTTTTTTAACACTTAACTGCAAAGAAACGGTCCGGTCCGATCTTTACCCAACAACTAATCAACGCGATTTCTATCCAATATCTTTCGAACATTTTTTGAATTGTTAAAATCAAAGCCGAGCTAAACGTGGACGAAAATGTTTTACTTTTCTATAAATTAAAAAGAAATGGCTTGCTTGATCATTGTGCAGAAGTAATCATCAATCAAGTCTTGGTTTAGATACTTCAAATAACTTTACTACAAAATACCATTTACGGGAAAACCTTGACATAAGATCGAAAAATCGGCTCACACACACACACATACTTTTTCCAAATTTGGTCGCAATCGCTTCAAAATGACTAGAGAAAAACAAAGTCATGAAATCAGATTTTTTGGCAGAAACAAACTTCTCTTCGGGAAGTTAAAACAGTGACATAATTATCTGTTATGAATTTTTACTACTCCATAAACTAACTATATTAATACAACCATTTTGAATTGACAATTTATCAAAAGCATCTTCATATAAATGTGACGACGTAATTTAATGAATTGCTGGCCCTCGTAAAAAGTCCTGAGCATCACCATGTTGCACAGAACGCTCAGCATTCAGCAAACCTTGCAAAACTCGAACTCGATCAGCAAAAGGTAGCGCAAAAGGTAATTCCCTCAAAGCAGTTAAAAATCGAACTTCTTTTACGCTAGCGGGAGGTCCAATATCTATAAAACACAAGTCAAAGCTAATGTAATCAACTATAATTTGATATAGAAAATTTTTTAAGCACTAAATGTATTAATAATAAACAGATGCAATGATTAAGTTTGCCATTTTACATATATTATCTTATGTTTACCAGCGCAAACTATTGTGTGCTATTCTAACCTATCTGATCCCTGGTAATCGTCCTGATTCCTCTAAAAGGGCGGTAGCCACGCCTAGCTTGCTTTAATTGTATATCGCTGGGCCGCTCTACGGACAAACACATGCGCCCATCGCTTGCGATCCACAGCGAGGGTGGGCAAAAAGACATTCTTAGGTCGCGCATGTGAAGTTGTCTTAACAAATGTACAGAAACCTAAAACACAATTTACCATATTGCCATGTTTCTATTATGTACAAATATACAAAAGTAATAAAATATAATCACTTTGAAAAGATGTATCCAATTTAGAGTTTTCTGTCCGTGAATCATTTCTCTTGATCGAACTGCTAGTTGATAGTCCTGCGGTATGGCAAGTCTGCTATCTGGAAAGGCCAATTCTACTAATCCCAGACATACATCTTTAAGGATGCTTATTACTGGTACCAACTCATGTAAAGTGAAGGGAATAGATTCACCAGATGCAAATTCTCCATCATGTAAAGTAGTTATTAATAAACTGAACAGCTCACAGAATACGGTTAAAGGGGGCACAATCAAATCTGTGTCTTCTCCAGACATTGCTATTCCCCGAGATAACATCATTAGAAGAGAACATTTATTACCAGACCAACTATTCCTAGTTGTAATACTTGAGCATATGGTCCACACACGACGCAAGAACTTTGCACGAAATGCCAATGTATATAATAATCTAATATCATATGAATGTTTCAGTAAATAATATTCAAATACACTTTATATATAAAAAATACTTATTTACTCCACACATTTTGTTTACTTACTTATATTTATGAATAGCGGAATCATCACAAATTAAAAGAAAATGACAAAGTCGACATATTGATTGAATAACGATCTCATCATCTTCATGATCAACATATTCTAATAACCTTTTTACTCTATTTTCTTCATTTATTAGAATTCTGCACTGCTGTAAAATTTCTGATTCTTGAGGAGATGGCCTAAAAAATGTTAAAAAATACATATAAAAATAAATCTGAATTTGTCACAATGTAAGTTAATGTAATGTTATGCACTCGGTGAAGCTAGTGATACAACTTCAGTAATACTATTATATATTTCTGTTTAATGTAATAAAAATGATCATTAATAAAAATATACTTACTTATAACCAAGACAGTTTTCATCATCTTCCTCCATATCAACATCATCGTCACAGTCATCGTCACAGCATTTCCAAGATAAGTTAATAGATAATCTAGACAAAATATCCAAATAATTTGAAGCATGTAGACCAATGGAATTCAAATCTGAAAATATAATATCAAAATGATAATATAACTATGATAACTAAATACAATCAAAATATAAGAGATATATACTCTAAATAGTAATACTCACTTAGATTTTCAGGTTCTAAAGATAAAAATGAGTACAACATCCAGGATGTTGTTAAAAATTTATGCTCTCTACTTAAATATGAAACCAACTGAGCATATGGAAAAGAATTTTTATAAGTCAATTCCGATGAAAGTGCCGGTATTAGAAAGAAACTTATTGGTTCTGAAAATTCTGTTCCTAGTATTTCTTCGCACAGCTTTTGCATTACAGTGTCACTAAAAAATATAAATAGCAGATCTAAAAAACAAACCTTATACACAATTAATGAAGAAATTGTGATGACAGAGTAAATATCAGAAAGAATGCAAGACAACTTACATAAAAAATAATTGATTTGAATATTTAACAGCTTCTAGAGGCCTGATAATAAGATTTAATATTGCTAAAGCAGTTGGGTTGGGTGGTTCTGGACTTCTTTCCATTAAAGGTGGTATTCTAGCTTCTAACAACGTTCTCATACTTGAAAAATATCCTAGAATATTTCATAATTTAATATAAAATAACTGTTTATAAATGTATTTGAGTTAAAATTGCTTAAAAATAATCTCACCATTTTGCACGAGATGAAAAATTATTTTACAATATAAATCAGATTCTTCTTCAGTGCAGTGAGGTGCTCTGAGTTCAGTAAACACTTCTAATACTCGTAAAGGCATAGCTTGTATTTGACTTCCGTCTTTCATAATTTGTTTCAAACATAATATCAATATTTTTTTTAATCTCCAAGCATAAGATTTACATTTTATAGCTTCCACAAAACATATATTATGGGACTTGATTAGAAATTGTGAAATAGTAATCTGAAATTATATAAATAAATAATAATATAATAATATTAAAATTATAATAAAATGTTAAATATTTAAGATTTTCTATGTATTGCATTGCAAATTATTTACAAAAATTATCTGACATACATATTGAATCAATCAACATGTTACTATAATGATATTTAGTAATTAGATATTTTAAAATAACTACTTACAAGTCTGTTGAGGTCATATTTTTTATTATAAAAAAATATCAGTCGAGCAATTTGTTTAGTTAATATATCTTGAGAAAAATTTGGATTTTGTTTTGAACATTCATCAAATATAGCCCGCTGTATATTTTTTGCATGCTGTCGTGCTACATAACTTCGAAAAAAGCTTTGAATTACAACAGCACTATGTGTTCGTTTTCTATAATCTTCCCGTCTTTGTCTCTCTTGGTGTGCTCTTTCTATCAAAGCAAGCCGATCACCATGAGCACTAGCACCAGCTAAATTTTGTTGTGGTCTTCTACGAAAATCTCCTTCAAAACTATACATCTATAATAGAATTTTATTTGATTACAACTTTCCTGAACAAAAACGTTCAACATTTATAAATAAATGATGATTAACAAGCATTTTGTTACAATTATATCTCATTGTTTATTTTAACAATAAGATTTGTCTATAAAAAATATCTACATTACTGTATATAAATTTGAATCAAAATTATTTTGTGATACAATCACATTATCATAATATTACATCTGGATATAATAAAATTAGTATTAGGCATGAAAATTTTAATAATTCCGATTTATGTTTACATTTCCTTAAGTTCATTTGGATTGTTTGCTATAAAATAAGAATTAAATTTTCGAACAATTAAAATATAAATTTAAATGTGAAATATAAAAGTACATACTCAAAAATATTTTAACAGATAAATAATAAACTTTTGATAATAATGCACTAGCATTAATAATTGAAAAACATTTCTTATTATTTATGATAACATTCAATAAATATAAAACAGTACACGCCAGGCATATAAAAATAGCA